TTGAAAGTCGAGCGACGTTTCGGGGGAAAATGTCGCCTTCATCTTCAGAGTCGAAGAATAAACCATCTTTACATCTTTCCAGGCCGCAAGATGATCTCCTTGCCAATAAAACCCGTTTATTCCTCCGTTGTCTTGGTGCCTGGTTACAGCGATAACTGTACCGTTTCCATTTACAGCACATAAATGCGCCTTAGAATTCTGCAGCTACAGTAAGCAGAGCAGAAACGCGACACTGTTTTATCTCACCTCTGATTACTAAAGCAAACTCTACAGATTAATGCTGTGCGAGCCGGTCTTGTGCGGGCTAAGTCCATAGCCCGAACGAGATAAACTTAACAGCCAGCCGATATCTAGCACAGGTGGAATTAAAGGCCACAAAATTACCGAGCTACACACATGTGTCTGGAAGGTACCCGGCTCAAGTCTCTGCGGGGTTATCCTAAGGTCTGCAGTTTTTTCCTCAGTCACTGCAAGCGAATATTAGGGCGGTTCCTTGAAATTGGACACTACTGTCTCCTTCTGATTTATCCTTTCTCCTCACTCTTCATTATCCTATTTAATCAGACATACAAAACTGCTGTAGCTGATTCAGCTTCTTAAATGATCAAAGAACCATGATCAGTAAAATCAAATGGGTTTAAATGAACGCTACTGTCGAGTGGCATCCGTACTTAGTTTTCTAGAGGTACTGTATTCAAATGTCGACTAGGAGGCTATCTCGACAGAGCTTTCTCGTGGTTTTCCTTAGTCCCTACATGCAAGTTCTGTGATAGCGCCTTCAATTAGGCCATGACGACTTCCGTATACATTTTTTATTTCGTTATTTATCAATCATCATATCATTCGCCGCTACACTATCTGAAGGGTCGTTAAAAAGGTCAAAAACAAATAAATACAATTAATTATTATAATACCGTAGCGTGTAGACATATTACTAGGTAATTATCGCGAACGCCGGTCACGGTAGCCAAGCGGTCTAAGGCATGTACTGTCTTCGCTCGCTTGGAAACAGGGATTGTTGCCTGTTGACTTTGGGAAAGTCTTCAGTAGCCGATCGTCTGTTGACTCCTCAAGAAGGACTAGACTCGACTCTATGGAGTTAGGTTGTTAGCTGCACTATAATACGTGCTATTGGGCGAACCAATTGGTACCTATGCTGTTTATTGTGGTGCAGTACAATAGGAACGATAAGCGACAGATCTTCTCCATCAAACATGGTCATTTTACATGAGCCGGGATCAGTTACAACCAATTCACACTGGCAACACCTCTTTTCTTTAAACTAAACTCTTATGATGTACTCTAAAAGGAATGTTATCATTTTCATAATGTTAGCTGAACATCCGAACAAACACAGAAATACTATCCCCTCGATACTGGCAGGTTTGCTGACCACACCTCAGCCCGTAGCGGTAAATATAAGCAGCTTATATGCGCCTTTGTTTTGACATGAGTGTCCATTAAAGGGACCCACATTTTGAACAGTACAGTAACTGTCTCACGCACTTCTGGTCAGATGGTATTCTATAATGGAGGTACGAACTTCAATGGAGACGAGTTCAGTAGCTCAGACTACAAGAAGTTTCCAGCATTTTATGGAACCCAAAGGTTTATTACCGTGTTCACAAGAGCACTCCATTGGTCTCTATCCTGAGCCAGATCAATGCAATGCAATCTATACCGTCCCATCAGATCTCTCTAAGATCAATTTTAATATTATCCACCTACCTACATCTTGGTCTTCCTAGTGGTTTCTTTTCTTCTGGCTTTCCCACCAATGTCCTATACGCATTCCTCTTCTCCCCAATTCGTGCTACATGCCATGCCTACCCCATCCTCCTTAACTTGATGATTCTGATTATGCTTGGAGAAGTGTACAAGTTATGAAGCTCCTCATTATGCAGTTTTCTCCAACCTCCTGTCACTTCATCTCTCTTCGGTCCTAATATTCTCCTCAACACCCTGATTTCAAACACCCTTAGTCTATGTCCCTCCATTAATGTCAGACACCAAGTTTCACACCTATATAGAACCACAGACAAAATTATAGTTTTGTATAGTCTAATTTTTATGTTTTTGGACAGAAGACGAGAAGACAAAAGGTTCTGGACTGAATGGTAGCAAGCATTATCCGAGTTCAATCTCCTCTTAATTTCCTACTGAATCAGGTTTCGATTTGCTATCGTTCCCAAATATCTGAACTGTGCCACATTTCCAAAACTCAGACCACATAGCCGTAGACTACTTAAAAATACTGTCTTGTCATTCGTCTGAAGTAACTGAGGTAAACAGTAAAAATTAAACCTCAGTCAGCTTAGTTGGTGTCCCTGCCGAGATTTGAACAGGAAATCTTCCGAGCACAAGTTCTGCCGCTTAAATTAACCTGATCGGTACTTCTGTTGAAGACCTAAATAAGCTATATTTTTATTCATGTCCTTTATTGCCAGGTTTAGTAGACACGCTGACCCCTCTAGCGGACCTGGCTCCTGTGTGTCTGGCTAAGGGGACGGTAGGAACCCACATTTACACTTTTTGTCTGTCTTTAAGGCCAGACGACATTTCCGAAGTCGCGTGTGCTGTATATCCCTGCCCAAGAAATGTTAAGGCCAGAGGCGCGGTACGGCCGTATTAACCAAAAGATAACGAGCGAGGTAAGCAAAAAACAAAATCGACTTATCAGTTCGTCAGCACTCCGTATGATTCGCTCGACACAAAAAGGATCCATACGAAAGAGAACCTGGTTGTTTAACGACGCTCACAATATACCACACTATGCGCCTATATCGTCAAACGATAAGTTGATCAGTGAATAATGAATTGTGAAAAGTGTGGTAGGAATCGGTTATCTCATAATTTGTAGTACTATCACGGGGTTTTCCTGGAAAACCACGAAGAACAGCAATCAGTAAAGTAGGTCTCCGGGCCGAGATCTGAACAGAGGACGTCTCGATAACGAAACACAATTGCTATTCACTCGACCGTAACGTGAGATCCATTAGCTATAATAACAGTAACAACAACAATACTAACAACACGAGTGCTGACGCCCGGCACATAACTGCATGTCATGTCCCAGAAGATAGAATATCCGTGGTTAGCGCTGTTATAACCTCAAGTCCAGCAGCAGTAATACCGTATTACTTCGAATTTAAGACACATCCAGTTTTTTAATGTGGGGTTTAGAAAATAAGAAATTAGAAATGTGCACGTTCCTGAAATTTAGGGTGCATCTAGGTTTTTCAACAGAAAAAAATTGTAAAATGTGCGTCTTATATTCGAAGTAACACGGTAATTCAAATCAATTCCTTCATTTAAGTGCTTGCCTACAGTGAGTGACCTTAATACGCAAGCACTGAATGCATACTTAAAATTTCGCTTAGTGGGGGTGTGGAGTCCAGCTGGGTCCACTCGGCACAGCGGTCACTGATTGGCCTATTGTACCTGCCCCCGGTGATTATGATAATGGAGAATTTGGTGGAATGAAGATTGGCAGGGGAAACCGAAGTACTCGGAGAAAACCCGTCCCAGCGCCACTTTGTCCACCACAAATCCCACTTGAACAGACACGGGCTGCCACAGTGGGAAGCCAGCAACTAACCGCTTAAGCTATGGCGCGGCCAGAATGCATACTTAACTGAAGCCTGGCTACAAGTCAAATACTAAGAAAGTAAAAAGTAAAAAGCTATCCCTGTTACAGGCCGTGAAGGCCCATAGGGTTGTGAGACGTTGAGGGTCCCACACTATCTAGACAATCGGCTCATAGATGGCTGTAAGGTTGTCAGCTTTACGCACCGGCTGCCCTCTACTCCCCAGGAAAATTATTTAATTAATTCCTGGTACTCATTTCTGTTAGGGGCAGAGTCAACTCCAGGGCCACAGTGCGGCCAAAAGGATTAGGTCAATTGAAAAAAATCCAATGACTTCATCAGGACTTGAACCTGCGACCTTCTGGATTGTAGCATAATGCCCCACAAGTTAAATACTAGACAATAAAACAGTACAGCTTCATGTCCCTAATGCATCCTCCCAGGGAAACAAACAGCCTTCGGGTCCCTTTTGAATATCAGTCTCGGTGAGCCCCAGAGCTTGTCTGGACATTACGGAAAGGGAACAGTCTCTTTCTCTGTCGGGGCTGAAACGATTCATCTGTAGTTCAGATCATAGCCTAGTCAATATACCAACTGAGCTATCTTGGCTCTACAAGAAAAACATAACTAAAACTAGAACGTGTCCCTGTGTGGAAGGGGGTTAGAGTACCTCCGCCATAGCCCTGCAAGTTGTAGGAGGGGACAAAAAGGGAACCAGGCCTGGGAGTATAACTGGGCCACCCTGTCATTGGTAAAAACAAATACAGAGTCCTGGTCCTCCAGGCTGGGAGTGGGGCAGAAGGTTGATGATCTTGCTCTTTAAAAAAAAACTACTGTTGTGAAATCCAAAGAGGCAAAACCCAGACAGTCAAATTAAAGACACCTCTGGCTGAACCTTCTAAGAAAGGCTATGGCTCAAAAATGTCTGCTTTGCCAGTGATGTGAAAATCAAAACTTGAATGTCAGTGTGCTCCCACATACAACAGTGGTGATTTCCTGGGGACAGAAATTGTGTGTGTATATATATTGCATTAAACTGGGGTTGTCCCTCAAATTTTCCAAATTATTTTTTTTTAATTAGTCAAATGAGGGCCATTGATATACCGTACTGAGAAATATTGAAATCTGTATTCTTGCAGCAGACTATTCTGAGTTGGCATTTTTTATAACTTAATGATGCAGTATCAATTCATAAGGTTGTTTGGGGTATACAGTAAAGTGGAAAGGAGAGGTTTGTGACATGTCAAAGACACTCACCTGGTGAAACAAGGAATATCATGAAAATCCTGATAGGACAAGAAGCATAGAGTCCAAGACTGAAACTAGATATATTCCAAACACAAGTAAAGCTTGTTAATCTTAAGCTACTCTCCCCAGTTAAGTTAGTATGACAGAGAGAAAATAAAAACAGTATCAAATTAAATCAACTTTTTATTAATTATCTTATCAAACTGCAGGAACAGGCAATATATTTTCTTAAACTCTACACAACAAATTAAAATCAGATTTTTCCACTATATAGAGCTTAATATTTTCATTTCAGTCAATAATTTGTGTCACATTTGAGGCAAACAGAATATTGGCAATTTACTCTTTATAAATTACAGGTATCCCTCAGACCTACATGAAAGTTGCATCCCTAAAAGTGTAGGTTGTGTAATTCAAAATTCCTGTTACTCCTTTGGTTAATTCACCTCTTAATTTCAATTGATAAATATGTAATTCAGTTAATTTTAAACCATGCATTTTAGCCATTCACAAATTTTCTTTCTTTTGATTTAAACAGATAATTACATTACTTTTTAGTCTTCAATAAAGAAATCTTAAAAAAAAAATATTCATATGAAATTCACCTATATGAAAATCAGATACATCATGGGACACCTGTACAGCGTGCATTAAGTATGAATTACACACATTTACAAGACACATATGATAAAGTTACTTAAACTAATAAATTTAACAAGCATCCAATCACAGGTTCCAGATATACAATATAATACTTATCGAGGACTAGAATTTAATGATATCTGTGTAAAACATAAAAATTCCTTTTTTTAGTACATATTTATGAATTCTTTGTCAATTGCTAAGATTTTATAGCACTACAATGAAGATGGCTGTGAACAGAATGTGTAAAGATGTTGCCACTGCTTACCGGTATTTGATTACCGATGACTATAAAGAACTGACCCCAGAACCTCCTGAATACAAACTACTATATCTCAGAACTCAGTAGAGACTAATTTTTAATCTCAATATTACATGAAACTGTTTATAAGGTACAAATTATCATCTGTGATATATTCGTAAGCAGTATTTGAGATTTTTCTTTTCCATGTTTTGTAAATTTCAGTTATTCAAACACCAAACTTTCTCCTCCGAAATAACACCACGTGCTTTGGTAGCTAAGTACTAATATTTCAAAGGAAGACACTGCCTCAACCTTCAGAGGAGAACATGTACAAATGTTTGGGGCAAACCTATTGCATCCTTTCTCAATGTATAAATTTTATTCTTGAGACCCTGAAGATGGGGGCAGCAGGTTCCTTCAAAATGCTGGTACCTATCCTCAAGATCACATGGCACCGCCTCCCAGGAGACCATGATATTATTTACTCTCATGAGAACCTCAAGTCTAATATACTGAAATCTCTGTTAAACTCCTTCTTTTCACTTACTCTGATCACCCTGAAAAATTACCAGTTAGCCTTTTGACATGTATTAGAGTTTCTTGCCAGGATCAGTAATCTAGGGTGTGAGTCCTTTAAACATTTTTCACACTTCCAACAAATATAATCAAATCTGGTCCAGAATGCAGTCAGCAACATATCTAGCCTGCAGTATCATGGATCTGCACAGAGTGAAGAAAACTGTATATTCAGACTAGGCCAGGGCTGACTGAATCATGCTGCAGCACCAACATGAAGTAAGGGGTGGCAAAAGGGCAATATATATATAAGAAACAGGAAAAGAATGAGCAGTAAGTTAAGGGTGGTTTCAATTTCAATAGTCATAACATAGTAGGGTGTAGTAAAACTGAGAGCTTCTTGAGATGCACTGTAATTGCCTGCAATTTAGCCCTCTGAAGCCTTGATTTCACCTAAATAACACATAAAAATTCAACTCCTACTCCACAGAAAACATAAAGCAACTCAATTACAAACAACAGTTGCTTTAGGCTGATTAGAGAAATATTCGCTGTTTACCCTGAGAATTACGTGGAACACATAAATACATAGTGTGGGTACAATACAGAGTTTCTTTGATGTTATAAAATGTGGTACATACAGCTACCACTGTGCTCTGGAGAAGGGACATGTAAAGCATAGAACCTGATACTGTCAGGGAACAGCAAATTTCACCGGCACAGGATATAGTTCATCGTGCATTAATGGAAAGGTATCACACAAAGAAAATTACACTGTGCATACAATTCACAGGCATGATAATGAAAATGCAAGACAGAAAAATCTGTAATTGATCTATGATACACAATTATATCTTCTTTGGAAGTTAGTAATATCACAACAAAAATGCCAGCCCCCCACCTAACTGCAGGGACCCCAACGTATTAAATTAATTTTAATTAAAAATCAACATTCATGTAATAAATTAAAGTCATAAAAATTATAAATATATACATGCTGTGAGCTGCATCTTATTCAGCAGTGATTCCAAAACTTTCTGAATTACGGATTAGTAAGACACCAGTGGACTTACCCAGGATTAATGTACTAATTGTCTTACATTGTACAGTAAGAACTAAATTACTAATATATAATTATGTCCATTTATACTAACCCTTTATGCAGCATTAAAATTGAAGATGCATCATAGTCACCCACAAGGAATATATGCAGTTAAACATAATGTATGAGGGTACATGAAATGATTTACATTGTCAGAAATCTTCTGTAGTGTCAAAAGCACTAGCCTGAAAACAGTAGTTTTCTTGCTATGGTACTATTAACTAAAATATCAGGAATGTATAAATATAGCCACAGACCACTCATTGGGAAACACTATTATATGAAATGAAACATAATCAAGAATTATAAGTGAAGCAACATTATTCCGTATGTTGCTTTTGTTCTGTTACATGTGTAACACTATTTTTATTCTGGGGCTCACCCAATTCCAATGAGACACGAGGCTTCTCATACTTGTATCTCGGAAGGTGACAGTGTCCATCTGCTTCCAGTAGTGGCCAGAGTGAAATGCTGGTTAGAACACGTGCTAGGCCATACAGTAGAACCAAGAATAACACTGTGGTCTGTACAATGACATAATGACTGATTGAGGTACCAATGTCAAGCCAACTTCCACGATTAGTGACCAAGTGAAGGAAATGAAGACCCATTGCATCACTGAATATCAGGACAATGAAAAACAGCTTCCCTGTTGGTGCCTGGAGCAAACAAAACATTATGTTTACCCACATCCTCACGACTGGCAAAGATGTGAATGGAGATATACTAGTCCTCCATTGTGGTTTGGAGGCTGTGCTCAGTTGCAAATCAAACAATATTCACACAAAATAAATCTATACTACAAAAACATTAAAATAGCACAAAAGTAAATCATAAATTTATGATATCATTACTAGTAATGAGGTGACACTTTTATGAAGAACAGAAGGGGAGCAGTACAGAATAAGAACAAGAACAAGAGAGATAATTTAAAGATAAGTATATTGGGATATAAATTAATAATTATCAGAATTACATTATTTGGACAAATTTTAAGGAATGAATGAAAAGAGAACCTCCAAAACAGTTTTGAACATGAGAATAAAACACACAAGAGGAAGAGAGAAATAAGAATGGGAACACAAAATTAGAAAATATGTCACACAGAAGGAAGGCTGGGAATTAATTTCCCACTTGGCATTTGGAAGTTACCTTCTAGAGTTCTGAAAATCTCACTGTTACCTGTGACACAGAGGAAATGGCAAACATCCACATATGTTAAATTTCAATAGAATAAGTCATAACAACTACTCTCCTATCTAAATTTGATTTCTTCTTTGTTATCTCACATTTGGCCAGCATATGTTTGGGACAGGTTGTACAAGAGGAAGAAATGAATCTTGTGTAGTGATCAGAGTCACAGCAAGGCACCAGAAAATGCTGATCACCTTTAGCTGATGACCAAAATATCTGACTGGCTAACAGACCTTCAAGAAATGTTTTGACCTCTGATGTAACCCCTCTTACACTTGAGTACAGTCCTCTGGGTTATAATGCTATCCAGTTTTCGGAGAGCTGCCTGACCTATTGGAGGAACAAACCACCTTCATCTTCAGGGTTGAAGTGTAAGCAGAGCAAGAAACCAGCGGAATCAGGCGGTGAGCTCAGCTGAAGGCAGAGGCGCTATATTTATCAGAAACAACGGGCTCCAACCAAACTACATGGTGTTACAATCCAGGATACCATATTGTTCACAGTCAGTACAGTGAGAACCTCAAATCCAGACTTCCTTGTACACAAGGTACATAAAATGTATACAAAAATACACAGTCTATACAACAATATACTCTATTTAAAACAAGGTAGACACTTTTGTATCATCATTTTGTTTTAAATACAGAATATTGTTGTGTAGACNGGAATGAATTAAAAGAGAACCTCCAAAACAGTTTTGAACATGAGAATAAAACACCCAAGAGGAAGAGAGAAATAAGAATGGGAACACAAAATTAGAAAATGTGTCACACAGAAGGAAGGCTGGGAATTAATTTCCCACTTGGCATTTGGAAGTTACCTTCTAGAGTTCTGGAAATCTCACTCAGTTACCTGTGACACAGAGGAAATGGCAAACATCCACATATGTTAAATTTCAATAGAATAAGTCATAACAACTACTCTCCTATCTAAATTTGATTTCTTCTTTGTTATCTCACATTTGGCCAGCATATGTTTGGGACAGTTTGTACAAGAGGAAGAAATGAATCTTGTGTAGTGATCAGAGTTACAGCAAGGCACCAGAAAATGCTGATCACCTTTAGCTGATGACCAAAATATCTGACTGGCTAACAGACCTTCAAGAAATGTTTTGACCTCTGATGTAACCCCTCTTACACTTGAGTACAGTCCTCTGGGTTATAATGCTATCCAGTTTTCGGAGAGCTGCCTGACCTATTGGAGGAACAAACCACCTTCATCTTCAGGGTTGAAGTGTAAGCAGAGCAAGAAACCAGCAGAAGCAGGCAGTGAGCTCAGCTGAAGGCAGAGGCGCTATATTTATCAGAAACGACGGGCTCCATCCAAACTACATGGTGTTACAATCCAGGATACCATATTGTTCACAGTCAGTACAGTGAGAACCTCAAATCCAGACTTCCTTGTACACAAGGTACATAAAATGTATACAAAAATACACAGTCTATACAACAATATACTCTATTTAAAACAAGGTAGACACTTTTGTATCATCATTTTGTTTTAAATACAGAATATTGTTGTGTAGACTGCATACTTTTGTATAGGTTTTATGTACCTTGTTTATAACACACAACAGGATGCATACTATTAAATTCCTTATAAATGTTCGCTTTACAAATTCTCTGTTGGAGGGGCGGGCAGAAAATTTCTTTTCACCCTCTTCCTATAATCAGTAAATGACCTTTCAATTTAATATCCATGAGAACAGCAACCCTTCACCTGCACAATAATGTTGAGAGCTCGGTAAGTACATGTCACAGCCAGAAATGGTATCATGATCTTCCACAGGATTAGCAGTGTCATGATGAAGGGGGAAAACACCGTCACGAAGCAGCGTACCCAATTTGGATCAAATGAATTGATGCTTGCAATGTTGCCAGTCCCGAAGAAAGAGACGATAATGTAGAACAACTGACACACTTATTAAGGAAAAACATTTTTTATTTTATAGGACTGACTTGGAGGGGAAGCAGTCACACTGCTACTTTCCTGACCACAAATTCCTCTTGGTACTAAATTCAGGAACATCAAGACCCACAGTGTCTAACTTCCTGAGGTACAGGATGGTTACACTGAGTTATAGGTCATAATATCATCTTAGTAAAAGCAATCTTGAATCATCACACTCCTTGATAATATAGTAATCCAGTCAAGTGATGGGAAAAAAAATCCCTATAAAGAGACAAATATACAGTATACATGCACAGCACTTCCCTGTAGTGTTGGAGAACTTTATGATGATCGCCAATGTTCACCAAAACATGTAAAGGTGTATTGATATATTTTTATATTAAAATGGTTCTACTTGATAAAATTACTATTCACTCATAAAATTATCTTTACTGATTATGCCTACCACAAAACAGAAGGCAATTTGCAGGGTAATTTTGAATGTCTATCAGAAAGTATCAGTCAACAAATTACACATACCAATTACAAAAATTTGTACGTGTCAAGTGCAGAAAAATTACACTTTCTACTCAACCTTCATAAGAGCATAAAATCAGTAATGTTAAATTTCAGCATCCTGTTGCACTGTATAGATCTGAATTCGGAGCTTTTGTGCCATCTATGTGCAACACCATTCATTATTCTTACGTCACATTCCTTTATTGGACATTATTGCTTCTTAATACAATGTTGAAAACAGCTGAATCGACAATTCTTTTGGGGTTTGCAGCTTGATAATCATCTGACTTGCAAAGCACATATAGACAGTTACTCCACAAGTTGAGCACAGTTGGATTTTCAATGCAAAAATTATCATATGTACTACGCACAAATAACTTAAAATCTTCATACTATGCATAGTGTGACATGTTGCGCAAAGCCGAGCCCCCCCCCCACACCAGCAGTGACGCGGCGGGTGAGTCAGCGCTCCCCTCCCACCCCTCAGCGATAACGTAACGCTCGCGTAATAGGCGAGTAATCACCCCGCATCCTGGCAGCTATGCGCGGTGACGTCACGAGCGGAGACGAAGAGAGCCGAGCGGAGCCGAAGATAGCCGAGCCCCGTAACCGGGTAACTATGCAAGGCGAATCAACAGCGGTGACGTAACAGGATGACGTGGCACTCATTACGCAACAAGCAATCACTGCAGCTATATAAGTGAGCTGCACAGCTGGTACCAGTCAGTTGTACTGTGACAGCCACCGAGTTGAGACGTAGAGTCAGCCAGTCAGTTGTATTCTGGCATTTGGAGTGTACTAATTGTGATACTGCAGATAGCAGTAATCGTAAATCTGTAATTTGGGTGATTGTATGAGCGAATGTGAAATAAAATTCGCTAGATAAAATACATCGTGAAGTTATTTGTCGCGATATATGCCC